GCGACTTAGCCGAATCGCGACTTACCGAGGCGCGACTTAGAGAGGGGTCACTGTATGTACCACGGGGTGAGACTACACACAGGGTCGATTGGTGAACAATATTTATTTTCATCAACTAAAAGTTTGTTGAATCGAAGTCAACATGCATGTCAGTCTCGCCTTATAATTGAGAACAATCCATAACCACCCTTTTGTGCTTACCGTGCAACATGGTCGGTGTATATTTTGTGACACGAATATTCGTATATCCTGGATCCTGCGTTTATACATGTTCAGTGGTCACCATGACAGACGCCGTTTCTATGGATTGCTATTTTGAGTTGCCGATATGTACACGTGGACCAAAATCTGAACTTACGTAGACAACGTGGACCATGGTGGTATTAATCGAATAGTTCCGAGCCTTTCTCTCTTACTACGAAGTTATTTTATAAAAACTGAATTTGTATCTCCATGGCAACTCAGCCGACATACCCACAATAATGTCTCAGATACATGCACTAACTTGCAATACACGCCTATTTGTGTTCGATAAACTGCTACGATTTTACGCCGGCTAAGCGGGACATTTTTGTTTCTGTTTATATCCATGGCTATATCACCATGGTGAGGCATTTTGTAGATATTAATTATAGAGGGCGCACTCAGCATTGAAATGTACTGCGTAGCGCCATGCATGCTCGTAGCGAAATACGGTGATATTTTCACCTAAAATTTCATATCACAACATTCTCGAAACGTTAACGAATATCTGTGCTAATAACTTATAATATCATCTTAAGAGACATTATTGAATTATAATACTCCCTTGCGTTTTTAATTTATGGTACGTTCCAAAATCTCAATCGACATGCGTATTTGCGCAGTTTATTATTTCATATTGTGCGCAAGTATCTAACACACAAACTAAACCTATTTCAAAGTCGCCCTTATTGTAAATAGTGTGGCATTAACATTCCTTTTTTGTTTTATTCCAGTCATGGCGTCGTCAAGTTTCTCAAGAGAACAGCTCGATGAGAGATTTCTTCAGTGTCCCATATGCTTAGATCGATTCCGTAAACCGAAAATACTTCCATGTTTTCATTCCTTCTGTCGAGAATGTTTGGTGTCTATTTCCAAGAGCGGAAAGAACACCGTTACCTGCCCATTGGACAGACGTCTCCACAAATTGCCCCCGAATGGTATAAATGGCCTCCCGGATAGTTATTTTTTGAATGACTTAATGGATTTTATCGACTGGGGAGGAGAGGATGCCATTACTGAGGAACGCCAGGGAAAAATGTGCGAAGGTGGCTGTGAGAGGGGCGCGCGTGTCTATTGCGTCGAATGTGGACAATTTTTGTGTGATATCTGCTCAAACTCGCACAAAAATCTCAAAGCCACAAAAACACATAAGCAATTTACAGTCGAGGAATACGAAGCAACATTTCAAACTAAATCGCCATTTGTAAGACCAATTGTATGCCCGGTGCATGACGGGAACCAAATCAAGCTCTACTGTGGGACGTGCAAGATTCCAATTTGTCTCGAATGTGCTGTATACCAGCACGTTCAACCCGCGCATGCGCATATCCCTCTTCAAGAAGCACTAACGAAACGTCGATCGGCATTGTGGTCGGCAAAGAAAAGCATGACTAGAAAGCTTAGCAAAGTCAAAGGAGACATTAAAGAAGTTGACAAACTCTCGCGAGAAATTGACCGAGAGTTGCAGCACGCGGAACGAGATGTGAGGTCCACAACACGTCACCTGGTTGAACTTTTGCGGCGAAATGAAGAGTCTCTTATACGGCAACTCCGAGAGAAACACTCCGACGAAAGTCAGGAGGTCTTGATGCGAAAGGAGAATATGGAGATGCTGTCGACAAAAATAGAAAAATCGTGTTCTTTCGCAGAAGTGATGCTAAACCAGAGTAATGATATTGGCTTCCTCTGCTTGGAAAAGCAGGCTGAAGAAAAAATGCGAGAACTGTTAGAAGAAAGGGCCGAGGTACCTGAACAGGTGTCAATAAAATTCACCAAAAATAACAAGTTCCCCAACTGCCTGACAACGGATAAAATAGGCGTCGTATCGACGAGCAGAGATTCACAGACAACTTTCAGATTTCGTTTGGCATTGACAATTACGGAAATCGAGCCGACATTTCGACGACGGCTATCGCTGATTATGAAGGATAGAACTAGTTGGAAACACAAACTAACTTTCCCACGTGGCGTGACCATCACCTGTGAGGGCGATATCATTGTGGTGAGCAGTGACGACCAGCGCGTGTTCGTCTTTGACAACAACGGACGCTGTAAGAACCAATTTACGGCAAACAGTCGAATATGGAATGCACCGTTCAAGCCCTATGACGTCGCAGCGACAGAGAAAGGCGAATTTATTGTTACCGAGAGAACTAATCGCTGTTTAATCAGCTTTCGACGAGATGGAACACCAACTCCATTTCATTTTGGCGAGAGTGGATTAACTAAACCACTGGGTATCGTCGTCGATGTTCGTCGCCGCGTGCATGTCGTGGACGTTCCATCAGGACAGCCCGATGGAGCATCATCGGCGATCAGCTGTTTCACACATTACGGGACCAAAGCAGGCAGCTTCCGTTACAAAGAGAGAAATTCCCCTGATATGTTACCACAGTCGGCGAAGTTCATTGCCGTGAACAGCAAGAACCACATCATCCTGCCAGACTACAACGGTCACAAAGTTATCGTATACAACTCCAGAGGGCGTTTCCTGTACCAGTTCGGGTCAGAAGGTCAAGGAGACGGCAAATTCGAACATCCGTCAGGAGTCGCCATTGACAAAGACGACAACATCTTCATCACAAGTAACCACCGCGTACAGATGTTCACGTCTCGCGGTGCTTTCATCTGCCGCGTGGATGGGATAGAAGACGAGGTCAATAAGCCACGGGGAGTTGCAGTGTCAAACACGGATTCCACCTTCAAAGTTGTTGTCGCCGATGCAGGAAATGATTGTGTACGGGTGTATGAGAGCCAGAAATGAACATATCGACAAATGGGTGAATTTCCGGTTCCGGTCTAATGGTTGTTAGCCTCGGACATCACGAATATGCAGTTTTATGCTGAGATACTGCAGGCATACAAAAACATTTGAAAGTGTAATGGACATGCATAGTTACATTCCGCGACATTTCCGAAGAGCCCTCGGTATAAGGTATAAGATCAAACCTTTCCTATCGGAGTCGACATTTGCACAGCAATAAGACAACTACAAATTCGTCAATTGTGAATTGCCTGATAATCACCGCGACGAACGTGCACTTGAACAAAATATTTACAAGCATTGAAAATTGTTTTCAATAGAATCGATTTCTGGTCTCTTCCTCGCTGCGTATACGGTTATACTGTTCTCAACGGTATTTGCCGCTAGACTACGGGACACAAAATCGCCGCAATCGTAGTGGAACGACAAGAGACAAAGACCGACTCTGTGTATGCAGGTGAACGCATCATTGTTTATCATTAACGCGTTTCAGTCGAAAACTTAAATATGAGATTCGAATGAATCACTACAATATCAATATATGTCTTAGAAAGTTTTCATTTTATACTGTAAATTATTAAAACAACGATGCTGCGCAAAAACTGTCGACATTCTGGTCAAACTTGGAAAGCTCATCAAGTTTACAGACATTGTCATGCATTGGTAATCAATAGAGAAACTTTCTAGAGAGATACTTTATTCGGAGTTACGTCATTGTTTTGTTTGGTGCGATCTGATTTAGTGGTAATTGCAATGCAGTCACACCAACATACACTAGGATGCATATATATGTCTAGTGCAGTTGTAGTGGTGTTGTTATTTAAAAGCAACATTTTTTTTTACAATTGTCTTTGGTGAGGAACACGATTATCAGTAGCGATGGGCGTGTTGACATGCATGCATGCATGCATACATACATACATACATAGCGAAATGCTTGTACTTTAAACTGAATTAGACCAAGCATCACAAACACCTGTATTGACGTGTTTTTGTTTGTTCGTTACGAAGGTCAAATCAGCTGACCAATCCTCAAAGCTAACAACAGAGGAAAATGGACATGTGACTCGGACATACTCTGAAAGCTAATAAGAATGCTACTATAAAACCTATGTATCACCCGAAAGCTTAAATATAGGAAAATACGCTGGTGTAAGCAGTTATCGCCATGTGCATTCCTCACCATTCCGCAACTGAAAATCCATCGTTATACATTGTCTGTCGTAGCTAACACAACGTTACGAACATCCTATAAGTTAGCAGTCATTCGCAGTCAACATTTCAATGTTGAAAACTGTGTTTTCAATAGTCGGAATGGAAATTTGGAAATGGGTATCGACTTTCGAGTTGCAGTGATTGAAATCACTTAAGGATACCCATGGCTTCTACAAAACACTTCACTCACTTGGCCGAAAAAATAATAATAACAAAATAACACAAATGCAAAATTAGCCGTCAGATGATCCACCAGACAAACTTTGGATTGACAAATGCTTTACCGTGTTCGACTATATCTAAGCCTTCAGATGATGTATAGGCTGTTATAATTACATGCTTATTAATTTCAGAGAATGTCTAAATTACACATGATTTTTTAAATGGCTTTTCCTCTGTTGCTATATGTACCTTAACGTAATTGTTCAATTATGAAACTTTTTTTGTTAGCTTCATAGTTGGGCGACGTCTAAAA